CTGAAGCAGGAGAATCAATTGAACCTGGGAGGTGGAGGTTGCAGTGAGCTGAGAGCACGCCATTGCACTCCAGCCTGGGCGACAAGAGCAAAACTTCTCAAAAAATAATAATAAGATAAAGAACTTTCTTACAATCAAAATAAAAGATCATATCTCATCTACTGTTCTACAACTTGTCTTGGGGATCAATAGACTGGGAATAATTTTTTAATTTTGTTGTTATAGTAGATCTATGATAGATATGATTTTATTGATTTTGTTTTTGAGATGGTCATGCTCTGTCGCCCAGGCTGGAGTGCAGTGGCGCAATCTCAGCTCACTGCAACCTCTGCCTCCCTGGTTCAAGCAATTCTCTTGCCTCAGCCTCCTGAGTAGCTGGGAGTACAGTTGTGCACCACCATACCTGACTAATTTTTATATTTCTGGTCAAGATGGGATTCCACCATGTTGGCCAGGCTGGTCTTAAACTCCTGACCTCAGGTGATCCGCCCACCCTCGGCCTCCCAAAGTGCTGGAATTATAGGCGTGAGCCACCACACCTGGCTAGATTAAACCTCTTATAGTCCTGAGGTCAGAAGTCCAGAGACTGGTCTCCCTGGGCTCAGGTCAAGTGCAGGCCGGGCTCCTCCTGGAGGTGCTGGGGGAAGATCCCCTTTCCTGGCCTTTGCCAGCTTCTAGAATCTGCCTGCACTCCTCAGCTGACGGTCCTACGGTTCTTCCTGCAGCAACTGCCCGTGTTTCTCCCCCACCAGCTCTCAGCTCTTCCTCTCCTGCCTCCTTTGGGCCACCAGGATAATCCCAGAGACTCCACATCTCAAGGTCAGCTGATCAGCAACTTCCATTCCTCTCTGTCATGGAACCCACAGTCATGGGATCTGGGGACCAGGGCATGGACATCTCTGGGGATCATTATTCTGCCTCCACAGCCGGTCACGGCACTACTGTGCCACAACCCAGCCAAGGGCTGTGCAGAAGGCAGGAGCCCCGGACTCCAGGGAGTAACAAAGGTTGCAGCTAAGACCCAAATCCTCAATCCCAGCTGCAGCTAGCTGGAGGTCACCCCCATTTCTGTACACAAAAGCAAACTCAGGGGGCTTGTGAGGAATGATTGTTCAACAATTTATATCCATTTAAATTTACAAGCACTGGTTCATGCCTGTCATCCTAGCACTTTGGGAGGCCAAGGCGGGCAGATCACCTGAGGTCAGGAATTTGAGACCAGCCTGGCCATCATGGCGAAACCCCATCTTGATTAAAAATACAAAAAGTAGCCAGGCATGGTGGAGTGCATCTGTAATCCCAGCTACTCTGAGACTGAGACAGGGGAATCACTTGAATCTGGGAGGGAGAGGTTGCAGTGAGCTGAGCTGAGATTTTGCCACTGTACTCCAGCCTGGGCAACAGAGCAAGACTACATATCACAAAAAAGAAAAAGGCCAGGTGCAGTGGTGGCTCACTGTGATGCCCTTTCTAAAAATGGCCACAACATGACCTCCCACCCCAAGAGGTCTTCTGCAATGACAGCTCAACACGCATCCTAACAAGTGCAGGGGTCTTTGCCCCATCCCTTGAATGTGGCAGCTTCTGGAACTGCCTTGGTCAATAGGGTGTGGAAGTGATGCTCTGTGACGGCCAAAGCCAGGGCCTGTCCTTCTGGTTTTCTGTACACATTTGCTCTTGGGACCCAGCTGCCATGCTGTGAGGAAGCTCAACTATCCTTGGTAGAGAGACCACATGGAGAGACCACATGAAAAGGCCACATGGAGAGACCATATGGAAAGGCCATGTGGATAGGTTACATAGAAGGGCCACATAGAGAGCCCACATGGAAAGGCCACATGGAGGTCCCATGGAGAGGCCACATGAGGCCACATGGAGGTGTTCCAGCCACAGGCCCCCACTGAGGTCCAGGTTAACACCAGAATTGCCATCAGAAAAAAAATTAATCTAGTACATTTGTTTTGGTGTGTGAATGTGTGTGTGTGAATTTAGTAAGTGTGGTGGTGTGTGGGTGTGACTAGACATAGGAGAGTGTATGTGAGCAGTGGGGATTGTATGTGTGTCTGCATCTGTGTGGACATGTCTGAGTGACTGTGTATGAAGAATGTGTGTAAGAATATGAGTTATGGCTGGACTCGGTGACTCACACCTGTAAAGACTTTAGTCCCCAACTGCTGAGTCACTGCGGCGGAGGCTCGAGACACCTTGTGACAGACAAGTCATAGTGCTGTCCCCTGTGCAAATACCTGCCCCGGAGAAGCCATGAGCAACTCACAGTGGCCGTTCTGCACCCTGAACTTGGAAGTGCCTTGTTATGTACAAGGCAGAATGTTTCTGATTTCTCAGCCTTGGTACCTCATCTCCCCGCTTGCCTGTCGCTATAATGACAGTCTCAAGTGTGCCTCTGAAGGAAGGGCTGCTGGGCTTCCTTGCACCTGCATGCATTCCCATCCTTTCTCCCCTGCTGCGGCCATTGGTGTCAACAGCACAGAGGATCAGCTCCCACCCACTGCCCAAATCCCCAGCACTGGCTCCCCGGTTTTCCCCCAGCCAGACAGGAGATATCATGGCGGGGAGGGGCGTGGGTGCGTGTCAAGCTGCAGGTGATGGTGATGGCTCAGACAACATTGGGCAGGACAGGAGGCTCCCAGCCCTGCATCGCCATTTGTTGGGGAAACACCATCACCTCAAGGACCAAACCAGGAGGGAATGCCAAGTCCCCGGCTCATGTGAGGGCCCATCCTGGCCACTCTGTTCTGCAGCAGCCCTGCCCCACGCAGGCCCCTGTTCCTCCTCCCATCTCCTGCCACACTTGGGTAAGAGCCTCTCCCCAGAGTCCAGGACAGGTAAAGGAGGTCTCTGCCCCAAACTGACACTGCAATTATACCAGCCTCAGGAGTGCACATGCTGCAGACTCCACTTTTTTTCCCTTCTTCTTTTTTGAGACAGTCTTGCTCTTGTTGCCCAGGCTGAAGTGCAGTGGCGTGATCTTGGCTCACTGTAACCTCCTCCTCCCGGGTTCAAGCAATTCTCGTGCCTCAGCCTCCCAAGTAGCTGGGATTATAGGCGCCCACCACTGAGCTAGGCTAATTTTTGTATTTTTAGTAGAGAGACGGGATTTCACCATATTGGCCAGGCTGTTCTCAAATCCTGACCTCATGATCCACCCGCCTCGGCCTCCCAAAATGCTGGGATTACAGGCATGAGCCACTGCACCCAGCCTAATTTTGTATTTTTTATAGAGACGGAGTTTCTCCATGTTGGTCAGGCTGGTCTCAAACTACCAACCTCAGGTTATCTACCCACCTCGGCCTCCCAAAGTGCTGGGATTACAGGCATGAGCCACCAAGCCCTGAGGTTCCACTTTTTTTTTTTTTTTTTTTAAAGTGAAGTCTTGCTGTTGCCCAGGCTGCTGAAGGACAGTGGCACATATCGGCTCCCTGCAGGCTCCACCTTCCAGGTTCAAGGGATTTTCCTGCCTTAGCCTCCTAAGCAGCTGGGACTACAAGTACCCGCAACCACACCTGGCTAATTTTTGCACTTTTTGTAGAGATGGGGTTTCACCATGTTGGCCAGGCTGGTCTCGAACTCCTGACCTCAGGTGATCTGCTGTAATGACATGGGATCATTTAAGGTAGAAAAGGATATCAGCCTCCCAAAGTGCTAGGATTATAGGCATGAGCCACTGCGCCCAGCCCAGATTCTACTTCTGTGGGGCACCCAGGAGTAAAACTCAAAAAGACAGGAAGTAGAATGGTGGGTGCCTGGAGCAGGGGGAGGGGGATGGGGAGTGAATGTTGAATGGGGACAGAGTTTCAGGTGGGGAAGATGAGAAAGTTCTAGAAGTGGATGGTGGCGATGGCCACACAACACTGACATGTGATTAATGCCACCACTGAACAGTGTACTTCATTTTTTTTTTTTTTTGAGACAGCATCTTGTTCTGTCACCCAGGCTGGAGTGCAGTGATGCAATCATGGCTCACTGCAACACTGACCTCCCAGGCTCAAGGATCCTTCTGCCTCAGTCTCCCAAGTAGCTTGGACCACAGACACGCATTTATCACCATGCCCAGCTAATTTTTGTACTTTTTGTAGAGATAAGGTCTCAAACTCCTGGGTGCAGTGATGTTTCTGCCTCAGTTTACCAGAGTGCTGGGATTACAGGCATAAGCCACTGCCCCCAGCCTGAACTATGCACTTTACTTTCCTAACCTCCCCCACCAAAAAAAACCCTCTGCTGGCAAACTATGCACTTTAAAATGGTTAAGATGGGCTGGGCGCGGTGGCTCATCCCTGTAATCCCAGCGCTTTGGGAGGCTGAGGCAGGTGGACCACCTGAGGTCAGGAGTTGGAGACCAGCCTGGCCAATATGGTGAAACCCTGTCCCTACTAAAAATATTTTTTAAATTAGCAGGGCATGGTGGTGGTTGCCTGTAATCCCAGCTACTCAGGAGGCTGAGGCAGGAGAACTGCTTGAACCCAGGAGGTGGAGGTTGCAGTGAGTCAAGATCATGCCACTGTACTCCAGCCTGGCAACAGAGTGAGACACCACCTCAAAAAATAATGATAAAATAAAATGAACAATGCTGAGGCCCTGAGGGAATGCCTAAGCTGACTTAGCCCTGCCTGCCTTCAGCCAGCCACCACTTTTGCTATCTGAGCTGCCACCAGACCACAGGGAGACTCTTGCAATGCATAGCCCACACTACCACGCCAGTGCCCCTGTGCTGCTCCCTGTCAAGCCCATCCTGACCTGTGTAGTCTCCTCCCTCACCTTTGGCCTCCCCAGCACAAGGCTGTCTCAGCTGTCACCTCCTGATGCCCCATGGGGAGTGTCTGCTCCCCCACTTTGGGTCTTGTGTCTCTATCCATGCACCTCTGTTTCAGACAACCCACCCCTCACCACCTAAAGTGAACAAAGCCCCCAGCCTCCGGCCCAAGGAAAGGGTTGTAGGTAATCGGTCAAAGTGTCTCTGCTGGAAGGACCACACAGCTGCCTGGCTTTCTAAATCAAGTCCATTTTATTTGAAATTTTCCACATGCCACACACGTACATGAAAATTCCCATCCAGAATGCAGTTTGCTACAGTGAACACCGAAGTCAGGAGCAGGCATCACCATGAGATGCCACGTGGCAAGTCAGCGGGACAAGGACGGGGGGGAGGGGGGTTGGTCATCAAAAGGCAGGTGACGCACGTAGGGTCATTTAGCACCTGGTCATGAGATACGGCGAGACCCCTGGGGCCAGGGAAAGGGAAAGGCCTCGCCTTAAAAATACCGGGAGTTCTGCTATCTCTGGGCAGTCTCATGTGGCTGGGCAATGGGCAGAGGGTGGCAAAGGAGCGGGGGGAAGATACCACCAATGGCTGCAGGGGAGGGTCAGACACACACTTGCCTGTGAACACCCCCACCCCAGCACATACACACACCCTTGCACACTCCCCCACCCCCACCCAGGACACATCACCAACACAGCAGTCCAGGCTCCAGCTCACTCCCTGCAAGGCAGGTCTGGTGGCTACAGCATGGAGAGAAGCCTCCCAGGACCAACCCTCATTCCTGGGTCCTCTGGTCTGGGGTGGCAGTAGCCAGGTGTCCTGACCTGGGGTCTGCCTATAAACCAACCCCTTCAGCGTTTCTGTCTTTTGAGACAGGGTATTGCTCTGTGGCCCAGGCTGGAGTGCAGTGATGTGATCTTGGCTCATTGCAACCTTTAACTCCTGGGCTCAAGCCCTCCTCCTGCCTCAGCCTCCTGAGTAGCTGGGACCACAGTCACATATATCATGCTCAGCTAATTTTTTTTTTTAATTTTATGTAGAGATGGAGTCTTGCTATGTTTCGCAAGCTGGTCTGGAACTCCTGGGCTCAATGGATCCTCCTGCCTCAGCCTCCCAAAGTGCCGGGATGGGAGGTGTGAGCCACCATGCCAGGCCCCTTCCTTGTTTCTCGAAGGAGCTTTAGAGAGTAGAGTGGCCCCGGTGACAGGCAGCCTGCTTCACTGCCACCACCGGGTTCTTCAGTGTCTCTGGGATATGTGTTCATCATGCCCAGTAGATCTAGAAACTTCTACCTTGAATCCCACACCCCCAAGTGTTAATGAGATTCATGACCATCACAAGGAACCCCCAGCATCGTGGCGAAGGCTACTGAGAACCCCTGTCCACAGGGGTGGCCAACGTCTTTGTCTCTGGTTTAGTGGCCCCACGTTTCATCATGGCACCTGGTCCATGAATTCCTCATGTTTTCTTACAAGCTCTGTAATGAGCTGGGCGTGGTGGCTCATGCCTGTAATCCCAGCACTTCAGAAGGCAGAGGCGGGTGGACCTGAGGTCAGGAGTTCAAGACCAGCCTGACCAACATAGTGAAACCCTGTCTTTACAAAAATACAAAAATTAGCAGGGTTATGATGGCTCACGCCTGTAATCCCAGCTACTCAGGAGGCAGAGACGGGAGAATCACTTGAACCTGGGAGATGGAGGTTGTAGTGAGTGAGCAGAGATTTTGCCATCGCACTCCAGCCTCAGTGACAGAGCAAGATTCCCTTCCAAAAAAGAGCTCTGTAATTTTCAGATCCTAAAACGAGCAGATAACAGGGCAAGAGGAGGTGGGAGGCTGTCCTGGCACTGCCTGCTGGGGAATGGAGGAGGCTCCCCCGCTACCAAGGCCTCCGGCACCATCCACCCTGGCAGGAGCATCGCTAGCACTGCCCCGCCGAGGCCACGGCACTGTTCTAGAGCCTCGTCAGCCAGCAGGGGCCTGGCCCTCGGCTGTTGCAGCCCTACTGCTCTATGCCTGACCGCTCTGTGAGACCCCAGGCCCAAGCCTTAGCCCAGCCCCAGTTCCCTTGGCAAAAAGTCCTGTGGCTCTGGGTCTGGGCACAGGGAGTAGCTGAGGGAAGGCACTGCCCAGGTGGCGGGCACCCCTCGCTTGTTTCTCAGCACCAGAGGAGCTCAGCCCCTCCCAGCCACAGTCCTGGGTCGAAGCAGTGAGTGTCCTCCTGTCCTGTGAACACACAGGTCCCGGGAGGGCCTCTTGAAGAAAGAGCCTCTCAGGCTCATGTCTTCTGGGGACATCTAATGGCAGGGATAGAGCCCGGCCCCTCTGCTGCAGAAGGAAGCGGCCCTTACCCAGCTCCCCTGGGCTGGACCAGCCCTTGAAAATGAGAAAAGCCTCTCAAAGCAGTGAGGAGAACCTGAGGCCCAGAAAGGCACCTTTCCTCTGGGTCCTCAGGCTCAAGTGCCTTCCCTGGGCCACCTTCAGAAGCCCCGTGGTGGCCTATGTGTCTTGGTGATGTGGAACAGGCGGCAGGGTGGAGGCTGCAGGCCACAGGGCTGCTGGGTCACAGGCCACAGGACCACAGGGCTGGGGAGGGAGTCAGGAGAAGAAATAACAGCTAGGTCTGGGGTGAGCTTGGGGCACAGGCAGAAGGGGACAGCCAGAGAGGTCAGGGCTCTCCCTTTTTAAGAACAAAGGGATAAATACCCTCTCCCTCCACCTTCCCTCCAACCCCCAGTCTCTCCCTCACACACACACACAGAAGATGCGACTCACACGCACACACACACAGGACACAGGTACACACAGGCACAGGCACACAGGTACACACACGCAGGCACAGGTGCACGCAAGTACACGAGCACGCAGGCACATGCACGCAGGCACACAAACACAGGCACATGCAAACAGGTACACACGCAGGCACATGTGCACACAGGCACACACATGCAGGCACACGTGCACACAGGCACACACATGCAGGCACACGTGCACACAGGTACACATGCAGGCACACGTGCACGCAGGTACACACACGCAGGCACACACACACAGGCACAGGGACAAGTGCTGACCACGCTCCTCCAGCAGGCAGCATATGGTCCGTCGCTTAACAGCCCAGCTCTGCCAATTGGGGACCATTAGGGTGGGTTCTTTTCCCAGCATCAAATGCTGCAGAATATAAATTGCAACTAACACTGGTGCCAAAATAGCACTTAGCGAAAATAAGCACGTTATTAACATCTGGTGAAGCCCGTCTCAGGGGTAGCAGCAGCGGAAATTCTTGCTCTAAGTCAAAGGATTGTTGCAGGGGACACTAAAAATACAAGGTCTACTGTTTGGGGGTGCTTTCCAAGGCACTGCACCCCAGCATCAGGAACGGCCCTTCCCCCAGCCCTGTCAACCAGTATAAATGATGTTGTTGGTTAAAACCACTTGCTCATGAGAACAGGACACCCAGGCGCGATCGTACACACGCAAGGATGCATTCCTGGTGCAAACACAATTCTCTGACCCAAGTGGGGAATGTTCTGGAGGAAAGGAGCAGGGCACGGAGCTGCAGCGCCAAGACACAGGCCCCGAGGGTCCCGCACCCTCGGCCTGCCACACCTTGTTTTGAGAGTAAGAAGTGGTCGGCCCCAGGCGGCACCTGATCTGATCACCAGCACCTGATGGTCTCCAGGTACCATTTTAAAGCTCTAAAGAAATGTCCAGGAACTTGGGGGGTGGGATGTTCCTACCACCTTTGAGACCCTCATCTATAGCCCCTGCCTCCTGGAGCCCTGGGCAGCCTGTCCTGTAGCCCGCAGGCCAGGAGACGGGGCTCAGGGGTGTGGCTCTCAGAGGCTGGGCCAGGAGGGCCAGGAGGGCCAAGAGGGCCTCTGGGAGGCGAAGGCTTGGTCCGGTATGAGTTCCACATCGGGCACTGCTGAGTCAGGCAGAAGGGTTCTTCCTGCCAGGAGGTAAAGGTTCTGCACTGGGTGCAGCTCGGGGCTGGAAGAGGACCCGTGGGCTTCAGAGAGGAGGCACTGACCCCATAAATACAAGAAAGACAGGGTGAAGCGGAACGAGATCTTGTGCCCCAGATCCCCCTGTGCTAGTGAGCAGAGGCACTGGGGTGGGGTCGGGACTGCCAGACGGAGAGCTGGGAGGCAGCCAGCACAGGAGGGCTGGACCTCCCCACAGCCTTAACCCGTTCTCCAAAGGCCTCCTTGACTCCCTTGGCTCCCAAAGCTAGGAGCTACTGAGAACTGTGCCCCCTCCCCCACCACCAGAGCCCAGGGCAGAGCCAGCGATTGGAGGCCCGGGGATAGTGTCCCCCGTTTTTTAACAGCACAGCAAATGTGAGACACCACCACACAGGACAGGGGACCTGTCACACAGAGACCCAGGAGGATGATGGTGGTCAGGGCAGAGATCCAGGCGAGCAGGACCCAACCACAGCCCCTCTTGGAAGCCACCAGCCCAGGGACGGCTCTAGTAGCGCCTGGAGGTGGAGGATGGCAGATATGGCCCAGCACGGCACATGCAGTGAGGCCTCTGCCGCCAGGAGTGTCCTCACTTTTGGAACAGCTTTGTTGAATTCTTTTTTCTTTTTTAAGAGATGGGGTATTTCTGTGTTGCCCAGGTTGGTCTCAAACTCCTGGGCTCAAGGGATCATCCCAAAATGTGTTGAATATATAGGAATATGTGTGGATGTGTAAATATATAGAGAGAGACAGAGTCTTGCCCTGTCGCCCAGGCTGGAGTACAATGGCTCGATCTCAGCTCACTGCAACCTTCGTCTCCCGAGTTCAAACAATTCTCCCTCAGCCTCCCAAGTAGCTGGGATTACAGGTGACCACCAGCATGCCCAGCTCATTTCTGTATTTTCAGTAGAGATGGGGTTTCACCATGATGGCCAAGCCGGTCTCGAACTCCTGACCTCGTGATTCACCCGCCTCGGCCTCCCAAAGTGCTGGGATTTATAGGCATGAGCACCCCCAAACAGGCCAAATATTTTTTAAGTCTTAAAAGTCATTTCAAACAGAGTAACATGATTGCTACTCCAGCCTTAGGAATCCCTTCTGGGTTTTCATGTTTCACATTACTCTAACAAGGCCGATCTGCCCAGGAGCGCACGTGGACCTTCCCAGGGAGGCTGAGTGTCACAGGAGGGGAGGAGGGGAGAAGGGGAGGAGGCCTCTCTCATGAGAAACAGGCCCTGCTCCTGGGGCTGAAAAGCCACAGGGGACGCTCCAACCAGCAGTCCCAACCCCAGGGGCCTCTCTGGGACCACAGACATCATTTGGCTAGAAAAGCCACAGAGACATGAGAGGGTTCTAGTGTGTCCTAAACGGACAGAGAGCCCCAAGTCTGCAGCCACATCCCCACATCACACTTGACCATGAAAGGGGATACTCAGACACGAGGTGACCAGCCTGGCCAACCGGACTTCAGGGGGACAGCATGTGGCTGCCCATCCGCCAGGCACAGGTGGCAGGTGACCACAAACACAACAGCCAAGGGACATGCTTCCCGGTCAAAGTGAAGGGGCAGTGGGACAGGGTTCCAGCCCTCCAAGCCATGGACAGGGCCCCCAGGGATTGAGGCTCAGGGCACTAACACCACAGCCAGGTCCCAAGGCTCAGCCTGGTTCAGCCAGGCCCCACACTGACTGTCCCCCAAGCCCTTCACGTCACCCAGAGGATATCCCCTCGACCCAAACTTCACAGAGCAACAGTTTCCATGAGAGAGCCGTGGAGACACCCGGAGCCCCAAGAAAGAGGCCCCCTTCCTCTTGTGACAAACCAAGGGTCCCTGGTGTCCCAGGCTCCTGGAGCGTCTCGAGGTGACTCAGACCAATGGGCAGCGGCTCAGCCTCTCACCACCACAGGTTCGGCGGTTCCTCGGCCACTCGACTCTTAAATAAGGTGATCTCATCCAGGTGCACCAGCGGGACGTCCCGGATGACGTCGGTCAGGCCCTCGTGGAGCAGAGGGAAGATGACAACGTTCAACGCGGGCCGCTCGGCCTGGAAGCTGAACCAGAGACAGGTGGTCAGCGGAGTACGTGGGCGGCCACGGAGGGAGCAGAGCCCGCAGAGGGAGCCCAGGAGGCACTCACACCTGCCCTCCCCACCCAGGCTCAGCTTCGGGGATCACCCTCGATGTGTCTAGAGGGCCCAGCAGCTCCGTAATCCTCCAGTCAGGGAAAAAGATTAGAGAAAAGCATCAGGAAAAGCAACAACAAATCGCTGCTCCTCCTCTCGCGACCAAGGTGCAGAGCAGGGGGCGGGGCCTGCGACCGTTTCCCGGGAACCCCGGCGCCACCTGCTGGGCCCTGGGCGCAGCTGCAAAGGCCAGAGCTGTGGGGCTGACACTGACCACCAGACCCATAGGTGCCCCGGGGAATGGGGATCAGACCCCGTCTGCAGGTCAGCTGGGACCTGTGGCCTGGGCCACATAGCCATGATTGGGGATGGCACGGAGTCAGACATAGGCACAGAGGCAACGAGGAAGCAGTGGCACAGGCATCTATGGAAGGGGCCTCTCCTACCTGGCTTTGGGGTGGTATCTGACTTCCAGCAGGGCGAGGCTTTCAGCAGCCCTGGGGAAATCCTGCCTATGTGAGCACACAGGTCCATGCAATGCTGTAAGCCTGTCATCTGCAGAAGATCCTGACAGAGCCTGCATGGCACAGAGCCTGGAGGTCCCCACAGAGGTCCCCTCAGCCCTGGATGGCCGTGCACAGTCCCAGCATGGCCCCTCTCCTCTTCTAGGTGTGAACTCTTATCCCACCAGCACGTGCTCCCTGCTACACTACTCAGGGCGCCTCTTGGAGACTGTTCCTTCCTCTGTAAACTGGGACTGATCGCATTGCGCTCACAGAGCTTCTGCGATCTCGACCTTGAACAAGAGGCAGGACACAGTGCCTGGAGCAGAGAGAATGCTCAGCACAGAGGCGCACTGCTAACACAGACGCCTTAACATCCTCCTCCTGCTCGGTCAGCAGCAAGTGGGCCATGGGTTCCACCGCAGTCCTGGGTGCTGTGCCAGGTGTGGGACACAGGGGTGGAGAGTGGGGTCACAGAGGTACAGGCACGGCTTCTGCCCAGGAAGTCCTGGGGATGCACTCAAACACCACACAGCAAGCATGGCTGATCCAGGGCTCTCCCAGGTACCTGAGTGTGACTAGCGCCCTCTGGGGACACCAGTGAGCTCAGCGCGAGGCTCAGCTTGTGCCTGGGGACACAAAAACACCAAAGAAAAGCTCTGGAGCACCAGCTTTAAAAAAAAAAGGACCATCCAACCAGGGAATGCAGAGACCTTACGGCATCCACTTAGAGCATCAGACTTGCCTACAAATTGTGCAGGCACAGGGCACCCCAGGAGGCTAGAGGGGGAACTTCTGGCCTGCAAGGGGCGGCACTGAGCCGGGCACAGGCAGCGGCAGGTGGATAGAGGAGACAGCAGCTCAAAGCCGGGGCTGGCATCCAGTGCCACATACAACCAACCTGCCTGCAGCGCCGTGCAGAGAGGATTCTGAGACCCAGAAGGAAAAGTAGGCTCATCGGCTGGGGATGCCTGTGAGGGTGGGGCCTGGGGCTGCTCTGACCCTCGAGGCCAGGTCGGCTGCTGGTCATGAGCACAGCCATCCTGAACTGCTTGGGGATCCTGGACGTTCTCCGCTGTAGCGAGGAAACAAGCAAGTCCCAGAGCAGGCCCCCATCACCGCAGGAAAAGCCACCCCACCCCTGCAGGGCTGAGACCGTCCCATGTGGGATGGATCTGAGAGCCCCAGACGCACAGGCAACAGAAGAGAGGCAATGCCCACTCTCAAGTCCCTTCAACAAAACACACCCACCCAGGAGACATCAGCTCTGGGAATACAGTGGCAGCCTCCCACTGGCTGGAGCGCCTTTGAGTGGAGCCCAGCTGCAAGTTGATGGGGGAGAAGGCCTGAGGCTCTTGCCGCAGCTGACAGGGCGGAGCTAGTGCAGAGCTGCCTGCAGCCACCACACTGGAGAAAACCCAGCCTTGGCCTCTCGGTAGGGCAGCCTCACCGAGCACAGTGGGCCCCTTCCCCCAACAGCTACCGCCTGTCCCCAGGCCCACTTGGCTAAGCCCTTTGGTGCCTGTGACCCACTCAGCCCTCCTAAAACAAGCACATGAGCAGGTATCGCGTCCAGCTCACAGCACAAGGATGTTAAGGTGTGGGGAAGCAGAGGCAAGGGGATGAGCTGGAACATTCCAGCCCCCACCCAGGCTGCCCTCCTGGTTCCACCACAAGAACCGCCAATGTCCAAAGCAAAGTCGAGGACACAGGAACTGTGTTTTCTACAAGAGCCACATGAGGCTGACCATGACTTCCAGATGAGGGCCACCAGGCTGGCACTGAGAACAATCACTTAGGGCTTTATTTACTGACACAAGAAGACTCCACAGTGTAGTATTTTTTTTTTTTTTAAGAGACAGCGTCTGTGTTGCGAGACTGGAGTGCAGTGGCGCGATCTCAGCCCACTACAATCTCCGCCTTCTGAGTTCGAGCAATTCTCCTGCCTCAGCCTCCTGAGTAGCTGGGACTATAGGTGCGCGCCACCATGCCTGGCCAATTTTTTTTTTTTATTTTTAGTAGAGACAGGGTTTCATCATGTTGGCCTGGATGTTCTTGATCTCTTGACCTCATATCCACCCACCTAGACCTCTGAAAGTGATGGGATTACAGGCGTGAGCCACGGCACCCAGCCAATGTTACATTTTTAGAAATCAGATTACAAAACAATATGAGAACCTTATCTCTAGTTGGTTCTCCAGGGAAAGTTGGCAACTTTCACTGTTGGGAAACTTTCACTTAAAAATAGGTTGATGTCAGGCCGGGTGTGTTGGTGCACGCCTGTGATCCCAGCACTTTGGGAGGCCCAGGCGGGTGGATCACCTGAGGTCGGGAGTTCGAGACCAGCCTGGCCAACATGCAGAAACCCCATCTCTACTAAAAATATAAAAATTAGGGTATAGTGGTGTGCACTTATAATCCCAGCTAATCAGGAGTCTGAGCCAGGAGAACTGCTTGAACTCGGGAGGTAGAGGTTGCAGTGAGCTGAGATTGCACCACTGTACTCCAGCCTGGATGACAAGAGTGAGATTCTGTCTCAAAAAAGAAAAAAAAAAAGAGGTTGACTCATAGTATAAATTTTTAAAAAGTACTATAAACACAAGTTGTTTTTACAACCAGAGAGGGGAACCTCAATTAGGATTATTCCTGAGAAAGCCAGTGGCAGTCCGCAAGGACAACAGACTGCCCCGGAGTCCGGCCGGCAGAGCTTCAGGGCCCAACGGCTCCAGACCTCCTGGCTGATGGCTCTTCTTGCTACTCTGTGAACAGCTGGTGCCTCCTCCCTGTCTCCTCTCCCCACCTTCAGGGGCACGAACACTCAGCCCCAGGCTTACGCCTCTCTCAGGAGCCCTGCTCATTTTGACAGTCAGCCTGTCCTCCTAAGAGGTCTTTAAATACGTCACTCCCCAAATCGCCTGTGAAGGCCAAGCTCTCACCAGGAATCGCCTCCTGACTTGTGTTCAATTCTAGGTGCTCATCTGAGTTGGTGCTCAGCAACAGATCATCGAACCCCAGTATACCCTGCTCACAAGGGGATGCGCAGATGCTAGGTACAAGAAGAGGGGCCAGAGGACACAGGCCTTCCGGAAAGGGCCTGACAGCAGGCAGCGAGGAGAGGGAGAGGCTTCCCCACAAGAAGGAAGGATCTCTGTTCAATCTACCACCTTTATCCATGACTGCCCAAGTAACCACTGCTCCCAGATCTAAACAACATGCAGAGATGTGAAAAATCCAGAGTTAAAAGGTAGTTGCAGGCTGGGTGTGGTGGCTCACACCTGTAATCCCAGCACTTTGGGAGGCCGCAGCGGGTGGATCACTTGAGGTCAGGAGTTTGAGACTAGCCTGGTCAACATGGTGAAACCCTGCCTCTACTAAAACACAAAATACAGGCTGGCGGTACGCACCTGTAGTCCCAGCTACCTGGGAAGGTGAGAGATGAAGGTTGCGGTGAGCCGAGATTTTGCCACTACACTCCAGCCTGGGCAACAGAGTGAGACTCCATCTCAAAAAGAAGAAGAAAAATACTTTTGTGCTTGTGGGAAAAGAGAGCTTGAACTATCTAGAAAATTTACCATGCAGAGGCTGGACTTGGTGGCTCACATCTGTAATCCCAGCAGTTTGGGAGGCTGAGGCAGGTGGATCACTTGACATCAGGAGTTCGAAACCAGCCTGGCCAACATGGTGAAACCCCGTCTCCTCTAAAATACAAAAATTAGCTGGGCATGGTGGCACATGCCTGTAGTCCCAGCTACTCAAGAAGCTGAGGCAGGAGAATTGCTTGAACCGGGGAGGCAGAGGCTGCAGTGAGCAGAGAGTTTGCCACTGCACTTCAGCCTGGGCAACAGAGCGAGACTGTCTCAAAAATAGTAATAAGCAGCAGCAGCACACTTTTGTGCTTGTGGGAGAGGAGAGCTTGAACTATCCAGAAAATTTACCATGTGGCTTGGGAGTGTCTAGGACCAGAGGCTGGGCCGGAGGAGACCACACCCCTTGCTTTCACTCGGTCACTGCCTGGTGCTGGTCAATTCCATGAAATCACTGGCAGGCACTTGATGTCTGCGGAGCCTGAAGCTATGCCCAGCCCATATCACTCACCTGCGGAGGAGAGACTGCTGCAGGTTCTTGCAGGTGGCGAGGGACTCCCCGGTGAACAGGTGGCACATGACGACGTGCAGGCAGCGGGCCATGAAGGCCAGCACAGCGTCGGGCTGGAAGGTGCCACTGCGGGAGACCAGGCACAGGCGCTGCAGCGAGGGGCACTGGCTCAGTGCCTGGAAGAACTGGGCATTGGCGCTGAAGTAGGGCTGCTCCAGCCTGCAGGGAGAAAGGGTGCTGTGAGGCCCACAGGAGGGGCTGGCAGGCGAGCCCAGGCCAGCTGGGCGCACTGATGTGCTGAGAGTGGAAGCTTCCTGGCCTGGGACCCAGCCCAGCTGTTCCTGCCCCTCTCTATACCACTATCCCCTGGAAGACTGGGTGCTGACTCAGACCCCCAGGGTCTTCCTTGGAGATCTGATTTGGAGGGGACCCAGTGGGCCTGATGCAAATAGCCAGCCAGTATCTACAGAGCCCGGCTGCAAGTCACTGGCTGAGGCTGTCAGCATCTGTGTGCCCAGTCTGCTTGGTGCACCCACTAACCCCCAGGCACCCCACCTTCCTCAAACACTGGCATGCTGGGCAGGGGATGCAGAGAGAACCCCACATGTGGCCCCTGCCCTTGGGGAGCTCAGATGGTGACTGAACACAGTGGGAGAGGGCAGGAGTCCAGGAGGCGGGGTGGGGGGATAGGCGGAACCTCAGCCAGGTGGGGGCCACTCCAGCCCCGACAGATGGGATGGCTGCAGGGCCAGAAGGGAAGGCTGAGGGGAGTGGGGCCAAGCTAAGAGGTTGGCAGCCAGGGCAGGGCAGGGCTGGGCCAGGCCGGGCCACAAGGCAGGGAGGAAGCCCCTGAGTCCACACCAACGCTGCAGCAATAGAGACCAAGATGAGAGAGCTCAGGGGGAAGGGAACCAGGGAACAACATTCTAGATTCTTCCAGTGGAGTCCATCCAGCCAGACAGAAAGCAGGACAGGGCAGGTCTCAAGGTGCAGTGGCAGATGTGGGGATGTGGTGCTGCTGAGAGTCCGGGGGTTCTTGGGGAACCAGGCTGTGGGACTGGGCAAGACCCAAACTGTGGCAGGTCGTGGGGTGCAGCGAGCCCCTGAGATGACAATCAAGAAGGAGCAGAGAGGCCAGAGGGGAACTCATGCTACATCAGGGGCTGCCAGGATCTCCTGGGGTGGAGGGAAAAGCCGTTGGAGGGAGGGGCTGGCGTGGGCTGAGCTGCAACCCCACCCCCCACAGACACTATGCAGGAGTCCTCACCTTGGGACCTGAGAGTCCTGTAGATGCAATGGAGTTAAAATGAGGTTGCATCCTGCATGAGGGTGGACCCTAAATCTGATAACTGGCTCCTTACAAGGCCCAGTGAAGGCACAGAGCTAACCCAGACACAGAGAGGGCGGCCAGGCCACAGGGAGGCAGAGATGGGGCCACGTGTCCACCAGTCAAGCAGCCAGGTGTGGCTGGCAGGTGGCTGAGCTCTTCCTCACCATCCTCAGAAGGACCAAACCTGCCTACACGCTGATTTTGGACCTCAGGACTCCAGAATCACGAGACAATAAATATCTGTTATGCTAAGCCACTCTGTGATCAATTGTCCTGGCAGCTCAAGGACCCTAGCACAGATGTCCAGGACAGTCATAACAGAAGGCACCACAGGCACGGAGATCCTCCCCTGAAAGACGATACAAAAAAGACTAAGGCAGGGCTGGGTGTGGTGGCTCACGCCTGTAATCCTAGCACTTTGGAAGGTGGAGGCGGGTAGATTGCCTGAGCTCAGGAGTTCAAGACCAGCCTGGGCAACACAGTGAAACGCCATTTCTACTAAAATACAAAAAAGTAATCAGGCGTAGCAGCGCACACCTGTAATCCCAGCTACTCAGGAGGCTGAAGCAGGAGAACTGCTGGAACCCAGGGAGCAGGGGTTGCAGTGAGCCAAGATCCAGCCACTGCACTGTTGCTCAGGCTGAAGCACAATGGCGAGATCTCAGCTCATTGCAACCTCCATCTCCTGGGTTCAAGTGATTCTCCTATCTCAGCTAATTTTTTGTATTTTTAGTAGAGATAGGGTTTCACCATGTTGGCCAGGCTGGTCTTGAAATCCTGACCTCAGGTGATCCGCCCACCTCAGCCTCCCAAAGTGCTGGGATTACAGGTGCACACTGTACGTGAGCTACCACACCCAGCCGAGAGTCCATCTCTTTAAAAAAAAAATTAAAGCCAGGCACGGTGGCTCACGCCTGTAATCCCAGCACTTTGGGAAGCCGAGGCGGGTGGATCACGAGGTCAAGAGATCGAGACCATCCTGGTCAACATGGTTAAACCCTGTCTCTACTAAAAATACAAAAAATCAGCTGGGCACAGTGGCACGTGCCTGTAATCCCAGCTACTCGGGAGGCTGAGGCAGGAGAATTGCCTGAACCCAGGAGGCGGAGGCTGCGGTGAGCAGAGATCGCGCCATTGCACTCCAGCCTGGGTAACAGGAGCAAAACTCCATCTCAAAAAAAAAAAAAAAAAATTAGAGAGGCATGGTGGGGCACACCTGTAATCCCAGCTACTGGGGAGGCTGAGGCAGGAGAATCGCTTGATCCCAGGCGGCAGAGTTTGCAGTGAGCCGAGATCACGCCACTGCACTCCAGCCTGTGCAACAGAGTCAGACTCTTGTCTCAAAAAAAAAAAGAAAAAGAAAGAAAGAAATTCTCTGATGCTCCCGATGCTGAGATTGTGTGGGGGAATGAGGGCCTTCAGGGTGTAGCTTTGAAAAGCCAGCATCCAGGGCCCACTGCACAGGATGCAGGAAAGGGAAGGGTGCCCGGAGCAGCCACAACGCCCATCACACACACAGAGCACAAGCCACAAGCCCCAACCCCCAGGAACCATTTAATCAATTTTGTCCTTGAAGATACAGAGGAAGGAATCCAGACAGCTGTGAGTAGAGAGGACACCTCCCAGGGAGGTAAAGGGTGGCTACGTGGAGCTTAGATTAATCCCCACCAAGGACAAAATCACCAAAATCAGGCAGAGACCAGACAGCTAACCAGTGCCTTTCCTATCATGAATCTGAATTTTCTTTTTAGCTGATTTTTCTGGAGAAAAATGTCTGAACACACTATTTGGCTGTTTTTTTTGTTTTTTGTTTCCTTTTGAGATGGAGTCTCACCCTGTCGCCCAGGCTGGAGTGTAGTGGCTCCATCTTGGCTCGCTGCAACCTCTGCCTCCCTGCAACCTCTGCCTCCCGGGTTCAAGCAATTCCTTTGCCTCAGCCTCCAGAGTAGCTGGGACTACAGGCACATGCCAACACGCCCAGCTAATTTTTTGGATTTTTAGTAGAGATGGGATTTCACCTTGTGAGCCAGGATGGTCTCAATCTCCTGACCTCGTGATCTGCCTGCCTCAGCCTCCTAAAGTGTTGAAATTACAGGTGTGAGCCACCGCGCCTGGTCCGGTTCTATTATTATTATTTTTTGCAGTTCAAACATATCCTTGAAGAGTTTACCCGGCTCTATCTTTTAAAAACCAAATTATTATTTTCTGCTGAGCACAGCAGCTCAAACCTGTAATCCCAGCACTTTGGGAGGCCAAGTCGGCTGGATAGGAGTTCAAGACCAGCCTGGCCACGATGGTGAAACCCCATCTCCACTAAAAATACAAACATTATCTAGTCATGGTGGTGGCTGCCTATAATCCCAACTACTTGGGAGGCTGAGGCACAAGAACTGCTTGAACCCAGGAGGCGGAGGTTGCAGTGAGCCAAGATCATGCCACTGCACTCCAGCCTGGGCAACAGGGCGAGACTGTCTCACACACACAAAAAAATTAAATAAATAATAAAACGTGCAAATTGTCTTTATTTTTCTAAATGTGTCTTGTTAAGCTATTCAAATTGTTTTTATTTAAAGATGGCAATAAAGTGCTTTCATTAAAATATATTTTAAATCCACCTCCTCCTAAATCCTAAAGTAAGCATCCCTTTGCAGACCTGAAGGTGGGAACGGGAAGGGTGAAAGATTGTGCAGGCGCTGCATTTGCTGAGCTGCAAAGTCACCTGTGGATTTCTCTCCAAAGCAAAAGCAGGAGGCTCCACACAGGAGGGGATGGAAACGGGGCACTGGATGAGGACAGCTGCCGTCATGCGGCCACTAGGTGGCGATGCGAGTCCGTGCTACCCGCCCCAGATCGCTCGAGCCTCAGGTTAAAAACCAAGTCGGCAGAGCATGAAAAAAACCTTTTTTCCACTAGACAGCCACCTCCAGATTCTTCCGCCCCTGAGGAAGTCACCTGTCACAGGTGTTCAGGATGCGGCAGGACCATGGGTGTGACTGGTCAGGCAGGGGGACTGGCACGTTTAAAGTTTCGCAGGCTCCCACCGCACTCCACCCAGGGCATGTCACCCAGGACAGTGACAGAGCTGACCTAATTTGGATGGCCGGCAGCGTCTGCAGGGAGGATGGGGACGAGGAAAAGGCTCCCACTGTGCCAGGTCTAACCTCTTCGTGAGGATCCAGCCTCCACATCCTGCTCCCAGAAGGGGCACTTGGGTCTTCTGGTGACTCTGTGGGCATGAAAGGGGCTGGGCTCATGGGGTGTGCTCCCAGCTAGCTGCCCACCACACAGACCGTGAGAGCAGAACCCAGGCCTCCGAGGTGTCCCTGGGGCAGCTGCCAGGGCCTGGCTCTGAAAAGGATGGCCTGCTTCTGCCCAGACACTGTCCTGGTTCTGAGGTCACACCAGCCCAAGTGACTCAGGGTAACACGCGCCCCCCTCCCTCCACAGAAAGCAGGGCTTAGTCAGTCTGAGGAAAGAAGGAGCCTTTTTCCGTCCAATTTGTAATCCCCTTACTACTGAGGTATGTCCAAGCCTCAGCCAGAGAGACTCCCTGCACCACACCCTCCCCACCAGGAGTCCCAACAGGCACAAAGCTGGGGCTTGCAGTGTGGGCTGCCAGTGGCAGCAGCCGGCTGGCCTGGGATTCCAAGCTCTGCCACCAAAGAGACTCCGGCAGCCCCAGGATGCAGCCTTGGAGCACCGTGCCGCCTCCAGGGGCCCCAGCGCCGTTTCCTACACACAGCTCCTGCCCACGGGCAAGCAAGTGCCACCTGCTCCTTTCACTGCAGCGTCCCTGGGCTCCCTTGCTGCAGAAGGCCAGAATCCAGAGGAACGGGGCCAGCTGGCAGCGTCTGGGAAGCGGTGTTTGTTCTGAACAGGCAGTACCCGGCTCAGAGCAGACGTGGTTCTCAGCGGCTGCTGGGCACAGGCTTGAGTTTGTGCACAGAGATCCCATTATGAGCGGGTGGGATGCTCAGGCTGGCCCACAAAACCCACTGATCCTGGGGCCCGCAGGCCTCTCCACACTGCCTCCGTGGCCCTGCTCCTGAGGAAAGCCTGGAGGCCATCGGGGGCCACAAAATGCCGCTCACCCAGGGAGGCAAGCAGCTGCGTAACCCGGCCAAGGTCATCAAGTGGGTACAACTGTGTCGACACTGAGGGTTTGTTGAGAACACTGAAGGGATCAAGACCTGTACGCACGTGAAAAGCACCTGGCAGGGGTCACATAAGCCCAAAGGTACCCTCCACCCACAGCGGCTGCCATCACCTTTGCCTCTCGCTTCCAGAATACCCCCTCCCTCCAGCCAGTGCCTCGATTGCTAACAGCCCCTGCTCAGTCTCCTTTCCACATTCTTCTTCCTCTTCCTGGCCAATTCTTGTCACATGCACCTTAGCCCAGTCTGTGGGCTCACCTGGTTCCACAGCTAAAGGTCACCTATAAGCCAAGGATGCCAACGCAATTCTCCCAGGCTGTATATCGGCCTGGACTCTGGGCTTGGGCCCCTCAACTAGGAGGCCTTACTTAACAGACCCTCTGGACTGGGCACAGTGGCTCACACCTGTGGTCCCAGCCCTTTGGGAGGCTCAGGCAAGAGGATCACTTGAGCCCAGGAATTCAAGACCAGCCTGGGCAACATAGCAAGACCCTACCTCTACAAAAAATACAAAAAACTAGCCGGGCGTGGTCACATGTGCCTGTAGTCCCAGCTACTCGGGAGGCTGAGGTGAGAGGATCACCTGAGCTGGAGGAGGTCGAGGCTGCAGTGAGCTGTGTCCATGCCACTGCACTCCAAGCTGGGAGGCAGAATGAGACCATTTCAAAAAAAAAAAGTTGGGGAAGCCCAAAATTTACATACATTTTGAGTCTATGTATTTATTTATTTATTTATTTATTTTTGAGGTGGAGTATCCCTCTGTCACCCAGGCTGCAGTGCAGTGGCGCAATCTTGGCTCACTGCAACCTCCGCCTCCCGGGTCCAAGCAATTCCCCTGCCTCAGCCTCCAGAGTAGCTGGGATTACAGGAGCATGCCACCACACTCAGCTAATTTTTTGCATATTTAGTAGAGACAGGGTTTCACCTTGTTAGCCAGGGTGGTCTCAATCTCCTGAACTTGTGATCTACCCACCTTGGCCTCCCAAAGTGCTGGGATTACAGGTGTCAGCCACTGCACCCAGCCATTGAATCAAACTTCTAAAGCACAGAGATTCTGAGAAGTCTCCCATCTGGTTCTCGAAACCCAGGATGCCTGGGCCAGAGCATGAACAACCGGGCCACTCCCCAAGCACGGAGCCCTGCGTTGGCTTGAGCTGAGAATCCAGTTGGCAAATCCAGGCCCTGGCGACTCCAGCAGGCAGGAAATAAAGAGGCTTTAGCGATCTGCTCTGTCTTTTGAAGTCCTGGGTTTAATCCTGGGCTTCTCACCCCAACACTAACAGGTCTGCAATGGGAGGCCAAGAAGAAGGGTGGCACCCAGGCTGACTGCAGGGCCCTCGAAGGCTCCAAGGTGTCAGCCTCGAGCTCTGTCGCTCCCGAGCAGACCCAGCCACTTCCGGCCATGCCTTCTGCGGGAGAGTGGAGATTTATAAGGACACCCTTATCTCTGCTCTGCATGGCTCCAGGGCCAAGGTCAAGCACTGGCGTCTGCAAGAGACTCAGCTCCCCGAGCTCCCACAGCCTCATGTGGAAAATGGCAATGGCTGCAACCTTAACAGATTGTGGTGGGGATGATGGGCTGAGGGCATGGCTCTCAGCAAATGCACAAAGTGAACGCTAACAATTGTGGGGACAATGACACGTGCCCGCATGTCCCCTTAGGTGGAGGTATGACTTCACGTACCCACCACCCACCCCACTAGCTAAGGACTCATGGAGACAGCAGGTCACTATCTAAGCCCTGCCCCCACTGTCTCCCAAACCCGAGTCCCTTATAGCACTGAGGTTCAAGGCCTTCACTACCTTTTGGGTAATTTTTTTTTTTTGAGAGACAGAGTCTTGCTCTGTTGCCCTGATTGGAATGCAGTGGCATGATCACAGGCAGCCTCGATCTAACCTCCTGGGCTCAAGCAATCCTTCCACTCAGCCTCCTGAATAGCTGGGCCTACAGCCACGAACCACCAGACCCTGCTCATTCTTTTATTTGTTTTGCAGAGTTGTGTGTGGTCTAGCAATGTAGCCCAGGCTGGTCTCGGACTCCTGAGCTCATGAGATCCTCCACTTCAGCCTCCCAAAGTGCTGAGATTACAAGTTTGAGTCACTGCAGCCAGACCACTCTGGGTAATTTTTCTTGTCTTCTCTATTCTTTTCTTTTTGAACGCCTCACGCTCTCACCCAGGCTGGAGTGCAGTGGTGTGATCTCGGCTCACCAAAACCTCTGCCTCCTGGGTAAAGAGCAATTCTCCTGCCTCAGTTTCCTGAGTAGCTGAGACTACAGGTGCCTGCCACCACGCTCAGCTAATTTTCGTATGTTTTTGGTAGAGACAGGATTTTACCATGTTGGTCAGGCTGGTCTCCAACTCCTGACCTTAGGTGACCTGCCCAACTTGGCCTCCCAAAGTGCTGGGATTACAGGAGTAAGCCACCACACCCGACCCCATTTGGGGTCATTTTTCATGATCGATTTATCTGCCAAGATTTCAAATGCCTCTCAAGTTAACAAATTATTCCTTAAATGCTGGGAACTGACAAGAATACTGTTTGCTCCACAGCATAATCAGCATAAATTCATTTTGTGCTTGGCTCTGGAAATGCCATGGGTCCCCAACACTGTCTGGGGTAGAGCTCTCCCAGGCCAGTGGTTCCACCTCTTCCCCGCTCTTGGATGGGTCCTGCTGCTAGTCCCAGGGACCGTCACCTCCCAGGAGTCTGTGGTGCCCCTCCTGAGCCAACCTCTCCCATCTCCTACATCCTGTCCCCTACAGCCCATGTGGGATGCCCAGGATGCCGCTCCCTCTCCCGGGTGAAGGCCCTCAGCACTGTCACCACCTGCCTTGTCCACCCCATCTTTCCCACTCCCTCTCACCTCCCATTGTCCCCTGGACCCTCTGACCTGACTGCTCTCTGGCATATTTTCAAGTCTCTGGGCTTCCTTCACATGGTGCTTACTGACCCAGGAAGCCTCTGCCCTGCCAGGCATGGTGGCTTATGCCTGTAATCCCAGCACTTTGGGAGGCAAAGGCAGGTGGATCACCTGAGGTCAGGAGTTCAAGACCAGCCTGCCCAACATGGTGAAACCCCATCTCTACTAAAACAACAACAACAAAAAATAGCAGATGTGGTGGTATACACCTGCAGTCCCAGCTACTCGGGAGGCTGAGACAGGAGAATTGTTTGAACCCAGGAGGCAGAGGTTGAAGTGAACAGAGATGGCACCACTGCACTCCAGCATGGGTGACAGAGTGAGACTCTGTCTCAAAAAGAAAAAGACAAAAAAAACAAAGATGGAGGCCAAGTGCAGTGGCTTGCACCAGCACTTTGGGAGGCCAAGGTGGAGGATCACTTGAGCCCAGGAGTTCGAGACCAGCCCGGGCAATACAGTGTCTCTTCAAAATTTTAAAAATATATATATATAGCCAGGCATGATGGCATATGCCTGTAGTCCCAGCTACTTGGGAGGCTGAGGCAGGAGGACTGAGTGAGCCCAAGAGGTTAAGGCTGCAGTGAGCTATGATGGTGCCACTGCAATCCAGCTTGGATGACAGAGCAAGACTCTGTCTCAAAAATAAATAAAAGTAAAATTAAAAAAAAAGAGCGGGGTGCGGTGGCTCACACCTATAATCCCAGCACTTTGGGAGGCCGAGGCAGGAGAATCACGAGGTCAGGAGTTCGAGACCAGCCTGGCCAATATGGTGAAACCCTGACTCTACTAAAAGAATAAAAATAGGGCCGGGCACAGTGGCTCACGCCTGTAATCCCAGCACTTTGGGGGGCCGAGGCGGGTGGATCACAGGTCAAGAGATCCAGACCATCCTGGTCAACATGGTGAAACCCCATCTCTACTAAAAATACAAAAAATTAGCTGGGTGTGGTGGCGCATGCCTGTAATCCCAGCTACTCAGGAGGCTGAGGCAGGAGAATTGCCTGAACCCAGGAGGCGGAGGTTGTGATGAGCCGAGATCCCACCATTGCACTCCAGCCTGGGTAACTAGAGCGAAACTCCGTCTTAAAAAAATATATATATATAAAATACATATAAAATAAAAAATTAGCTGGGCGTGGTCAGGAGGCTGAGGCAGAAGAATCACTGGAACCTGGGAGGCGGAGGCTGCAGTGGGCCAAGATGGCACCACTGCACTCAAGCCTGGGCAACAGAGCGAGACTCCATCCCAAAACACAAAACAAACCCAAAACCTAAAATGCAATTAAACACACACACACACACACACACGCACACAAAGAATTGCAGTCAGGTCAGAAAGGCCTGGGTTCGAATCTTAACTCCCCACCTACTAGCTCTGCTGTGTGGCAACAACCACAAGCACCTGGTAGGCTTGTGAGAGGATTAAGCAGGATGACTCACAGTAGGGCCGGGACAATCACTCAAACACTATCAGGAGTGAGGACGCTAAGCTCAGCCATCCGCCTCCTTCCTGCACCCCGGGTTCCTCTAGATGCCGCTCTCCCCAGAGCCCCCTGAGCCAAGCATGGGACGCGGTGAGGTCCCACCCCAGCCTCTGCACTCCTGGAGGACAGGCCTGTGGCAGGGCCGCCTCCAAGTTCCACGACAACACACTTCCCTCCGCCAGCCTCCAGCAGAGGCCCGGGAGGTCCCCGCAGACCCCCTCACCTGAGGTCCCTCAGCCGCTTGCAGTGCTTCAACATGTCCGATAGCGCGGGCATGTACACCACCTTCCCCATCATGCCCAGGTTGGCCAGCGACAGGGACCGCAGCTGCTGGCACTGCAGGCCAATACTGACCAGCCCGGAGCCCGTCAGGACGCTGGGCAGCTGTGCGAGCGTCAGGTGCCGCAGGAAGGCCAGCTGGCCGATGGCGGCCACCTCCGAGTCCCCGACGCTCTGCGCGCGGCTGCAGGGCGGGAGCGAGTTGCGGATGGCCGGCTCGTTGCGCGGCATGGCGGAGGAGAAGTTGGACCCGATCAGCTCGAGGTGTTCCAGGAAGGGCAGGTTCTTCAGCAGAGACCAGAACACTGATGAGGGCTGGGGGCCCGCCTGGCCCGAGAAGGGGCTGGGACAGGACTGCACGCCCACGCGCACTTTCTTGCCGAAGCCGCGCGGCACGGCATGCATGGCGGGCTGAGCGGGCGCGCGATCCGCGCGCGGTGCGGAGTCGGCGACGGAGCAAACTGGTAGGGAGAGGGAGCGCAGGTGACGCAGCCGGGCCAGGAGCTGGCAGAGGTGGCGGCCCAGGCCCTCAGAGCTGTGGTGGTGGGCAGCCGAGAGGTTCAGGTGGCGCAGGTTGCAGCAGGACGCCACCAGTGTCTCCAGGATGCTGCTGTCGATATCGTCCTCCGCCTTGCGCAGCAGGGAGTCCGGGGACAGGCAGTGGACACAGCCACTGAGGTTCAGGCTGGCCAGGCTCCTCAGGTCCTTCCCGCCGTTGATGACCTGCTGGATCAGGTGGCCTCCCGACAAGGTACAACGGCTGAAGCTGAAGTAGAACGGGTTGTTAAATTTCATGTGCTGCAGGAGCGAAGAGCCGTTCAACCAGGACTTGGGCAGCTGCAGAGCGTCCAGCGCGACGTTGCGCGCCATGGAGTCCAGGAGGTTCTTGGTGGCACCGCTCTCTGCGAAGCTGCCGGGGACAGAGATGAGGAAGGCGTGGAGGTTCTGGGGCGTGCGGTCGCTGAGCACAGCCAGGTACAGCCGCACCACCTCCTGGTTGATGTAGCCGGGAGCCAGGCGCGCGTAGAAGACGCGCAGGTTCTGGTAGTGCGGCACGTTGCTCTGGCCCACCATGAGCTGGCCCGAGAGGATGGCGCCCTCGCGCGTGCGGTCCAGAATCTCGAAGTAGAGCAGCAGCTTCTCCAGGCTGGTGCAGCAGGGCACCACACCGTAGGAGGGCGTGAACAGTGTCTGCTTGAGCTCCCGCACGCGGCTCAGCGTGGCCTTGCACTCGCTGCTCAGCTGGCTGGCGTCGAAGCCGGGGCTAACGTCAATGGCCAGCGAGCGCAGATGCTGCAAAGCCGAGAGCATCTTGGAGAGGCGCAGGGAGGTGAGGTGGCAGCCCGAGAGGTTCACTTTCACCAGGCTGCGGCAGCGGGCCACGTGCTCCACAGTGGAACCGGGCAGCCAGTAGCAGCCAGCCATGCTCAGCTGCTGGATCTCCCGGCCGATCTCCTTCACCAGCTGCCTCACCTTATCCTCGCTCGCCTGCGGGACAGGGGTAGGGCAGGGAGAGCAAGGAAAGGACTGAAGGCACCTGGGGGTCTCCAACCCTCAGCGCACATGCTCCCCCTGCGGCAGCTGCTCCACCGGGAGGGAAGCTCCCCACCTCTTCCCTGTCCACCTGCCCTCATGCTGATCTGAACCCAAGAGTCAAGAGTCCTCAGCTAAGTGGGACTGGTAGAGGGGTGCAGCCACGGTAGAAAATGGTTTGGTAGGCCGGGCGAGGTGGCTCACGCTTGTCACCCCAGCACTTGGGAAGCCAAGGCAGGCAGATCACCTGAGGTCAGGAGTTCAAGACCAGCCTGGCCAACATGGTGAAGCCCCATCTCTAATGAAAACACAAAAATTAGCCAGGCATGGTGGCCCCCACCTGTAATCCCAGCTACTCCAGAGGCAGAAGCAGGAGAATCGCTTGAACCTGGGAGGTGGAGATTGCAGTGAGCCAAGATCTCACCACTACACTCCAGCCTGGGCAACAGAGAGAGACTGTCTCACAAAAAGAAAAAAAAAGGCCAGGCACAGTGGCTCACACCTGTCATCCCAGCACTTTGGGAGACAGGCAGGTGGATCACGAAGTCAGGAGATCTAGTCCATCCTGGCCAACAGGGTGAAACCCCATCTCTACTAAAAATACAAAAATTAGCTGGGCGTGGTGGCACGCACCTGTAATCCCAGCTACTCAGGAGGCTGAGGCAGGAGAATCGCTTGAACCTGAGAGGCAAAGGTTGCAGTGAGCTGAGATAGTGCCACAGCACTCCAGCCTGGTAACAGAGCAAGACTCCATATCAAAAAAAAAGGCCAGGCACGGTGGCTCACACCTGTAATCCCAGCAATTTGGGAGGCCAAGGTGGGCAGATCACCTGAGGTCAGGGGTTTGAGACCAGCACGACCAACATGGAGAAACCCCATCCCTAGTAAAAATATGAAATTAGCCAGGTGTGGTGACGCATGCCTGTAATTCCAGCTACTCCAGGGCCAAGGCAGGAGAATCACTTGAACCTGGAAGGCGGAGGTTGTGGTGAGATTGCACCATTGCACTCCAGCCTGGGCAACAAGACTAAAACTCCAACGCAAAAAAAAAAAGAAAAGAAAATGATTTGGTGGTTCCTCAAAAAGCTAAACACAGGACTACCATATAACCCAGCAATTTCACTCCTAGGGATGGACCCAAAGGAACTGAAAGCTGAGGCCCAGCCTCCCTACTCTGTGCCTGTTCACTGCAGCAGATTCACAAGAAGCCACAGGTAGAAACAGCCCTGGTGTCCATCGGCAGGTAAATGGAAAAACCAAATGCCATCTGTCCACACAGGGAAACGTGATCCAGCCACAAAGAGGAAGGAATGCTGGGGGCTGAGGCGCCTGCCATCCCAGGACCTCGGAAAGCAAAGGCAAACAGATCACTTGATCTTAAAGGTTGGAGACCAGCTTGGGCAACATCGCAAGACCCCGTATATACCAAAAAAATAAATATTAGCCAGGCGTGGTGGTGCACACCTGTGGTCCGAGCTACTTGGGAGGCTGAGGGAGGCGGATGGCTTGAGCCTGGGAGGTGAAGGTTGCAGTGAGCTGTAATCGTGCCACTGCACTCCAGCTTGGGTAACAGAAGTGAGACCAAGTCTCAAAAAAAAAGAAAAAAGGATTCTACTGGGTGCGGTCGCTCAAGCCTATAACCCAACACTTTGGGAGGCCGAGGCTGGCAGATCATGAGGTCAAGACATTGAGACCATCCTGGCCAACATGGTGAAACCCCATCTCTACTAACAATATAAAAATTAGGCCGGGAGCAGTGGCTCACGCTTATAATCCCCGCACTTTGGGAGGCCAAGGCAGGTGGATCACGAGGTTGAGAGATTGAGACCATCCTGGTCAACAAGATGAAACACGGTCTCTACTAAAAATACAAAAATTATCTGGGCATGGTGGCACGCGCCTGTAGTCCCAGCTACTCGGGAGGCTGAGACAGGAGAGTTGCTTGATCCCAGGAGGTGGAGGTTGCGGTGAGCCGAGATCACGCCATTGCACTCCAGCCTGGGTAACAAGGGCAAAACTCCGTCGCAAAATATATATATATATTTTGCAGTGAGCTGAGATTGCACCACTGCACTCCAGCCTGGGCAACAGAGGCTGTTTTAGACTTTAAAAAAAAAAAGGAAAAAGGAAGAAAGTCCTTCCCGGCACATGCTACAACATGGATGTACCTCAAAAGCAGGCAGGATGCCAAGTGAATGAAGCCAATCACAAAGGTTCAAACAGCGTGGGATTCCGTTTATAGAAAATTTCCAGAACAGAAAATTCACAGAGTAGAATAGCAGTTACCAGGGGATTCGGGGAGGGGAATGGGAAGTTGTTGCTTAATGGTTTCTGCTGAGGGTGATGAGAAAGTTCTGGAGATGATGGTGGTGATGGCTGCATAATGCTGTGAATGTGCTTGATATCACTGATTCGCACACTTACAGTTAAGATGATATATTCTATGTTTGTTTAATCACCATTTTAAAAATGGTTGAAGGGGGCCAGACACGATGACTCACATCTATAATCCCAGCACTCTGGGAAGCCTAGGTGGGAGGATTGCTTGAGCCCAGAAGTTCCAGGGCAGCCAGGGCAACATAGCAAGACCCCATCTCTACAAAAATTGTTTTCTGTTTTTTGAGACAAGGTCTCATTATATTGTCCAGGCTGCAGTACAGAGGTACCATCATAGCTCACTGCAGCCTTAACCTCCTGGGGTTCAGGTGATCCTCCCACCTCAGCCTCCTGAGTAGCTGGGGCTACAGATGCATGCCACCATGCCAGGTTGATTTTTTTTTTTTTTAAGCGATGGGGTTTTGCCACGTTGTCCAGGCCGGTCTTGAACTCCTGAGCTGATGCAATCCACCTGCCTTGGCCTCCCAAAGTGCTGGCATTACAGGAGTGAGCCACCACATCCAACCAAAAAATTAAATTAAAAAAATGCTCCAGATATATACCAAGAGGCACCGGCTAGGGACACCCAGCCCTTCTTCTTTACAGGGAACAAAGTTTCATAGACAGGAGGCCTGACACCAGTGTTGCAGGGAGCACCCTCAGCTCCCTCATCTACTGAAGACCCTCCAGCAGAAACAGCTAAAGCTTCCCGGGCACAATGGGACATGCCTGTAATCCCAGCACTTTGTGAGGCCAAGGCAAGTCGATCACTTGAGATCAGGAGTTCAAGACCAGCCTGGCCAACATGGTAAAACCCCGTCTCTAGTAAAAATACAAAAGGTACCTGGGTCTGGTGGTACACAGCTGTAATCTTGGCTACTTGGGAGGCTGAGGCAGGAGATTCATTTGAACCCGGGAGGAGGAGGTTACAGTGAGCTGAGATCACACCACTGCACTCCAGCCTGAGTGACACAGCAAGACTCCGTCTCAAAAAAAACAAAAGCAGGCCAGGCGCGGTGGCTCACGCCTCTAATCCCAGCACTTTGGGAGGCCAAGGTGGGTGGATCACAAGGTCAAGAGATTGAGACCATCCTGGTCAACATACATGATGAAACCCCATCTCTACTAAAAATACAAAAATTAGCTGGGCATGGTGGCACGCACCTGTAGTCCCAGCTACTCGGGAGGCTGAGGCAGGAGAATTGCTTGAACCCAGGAGGTGGAGGTTGTGGTGAACGGAGATCACGCCATTGCACTCCAGCCTGGGTAACAAGAGCAAAACTCCATCTCAAAAAAAAAAAAAAAAAAAACAAAAGCAAAAGCTCTACAGGGGCCTCATCTGGTGTCAAAGACCCTGGTTCACAACCAGCAGGAAGTCAGGAGCCCTTCCCCTAGTCTCCTAAAATGTGGGTAAAGGTCAGGAACCTGGAGAACTATGTTTTTTTTTTTTCTTTTGAGACGGAGTTTCGCTCTTGTTACCCAGGCTGGAGTGCAATGGCATGATCTCCGCTCACCGCAACCTCCACCTCCTGGGTTCAGGCAATTCTCCTGCCTCAGCCTCCCAAGTAGCTGGGATTACAGGCACACGCCACCATGCCCAGCTAATTTTTTGTATTTTTAGTAGAGACGGGGTTTCACCATGTTGACCAGGATGGTCTCGATCTCTTGACCTTGTGTCCACCCGCCTCGGCCTCCCAAAGTGCTGGGATTACAGGCGTGAGCCACCGCACCTGGCCAACTATTTTTATCTTTAAGACACATTACCAGGCTAGGCATGATGGTTTACACCTGTAATCCCAGCACTTTGGGAGGCCTAGGTGGGTGGATCATCCAAGGTCAGGAGTTTGAGACCAGCCTGGCCAACATGGTGAAACCCAACCTCTACTAAAAATATAAAACATAGCTGGACATGGTGGCGCATGCCTATAATCCCAGTTACTTGAGAGGCTGAGGCAGGAGAATCATTTGAACCTGGAAGGTGGAGGTTGTAGTGAGCTGAGATCCCACTGCTGCATTCCAGCATGGGTGACGAGAGACTCTGTCTCAAAAAAAAAAAAAAAAGAAGAAGAATGGCTACAACTTTAAAAACTGACAGCACCAAGTGTTGACAAGGCTGCAGAGCAACCAGAGCTCCCAAACCCTCCAAGAGTCCAAAATGGTGCCCTCCCACTGCACCACTGGAGAACTATACATTTTCTTTTTTTTTTTTTTTTTCTTTTTTTGAGATGGAGTCTCACACTGTTGCCCAGGCTGGAGTGCAATGGTGTGATCTCGGCTCACTGCAACCTCCGCCTCCCATGTTCACATGATTCTCCTGCCTCAGCCTCCTGAATAGCTGAGATTATAGGCACACACCACTACACCTGGCAAATTTTTGTATTTTTAGTTATGTTGGCCAGACTGGCCTTGAACTGACATTGTGATCCACCTGCCTCGGCCTCCCAAAGTGCTAGGATTACAGGCGTGAGCACCCTGCCGAGAGCTGCACATTTAAATTTACAAGAAATGTCCAACAACTCTCCACTCCTAGGAGCTGCCAGAAAGCAAGTCTCCTACCCCTGTCTCCCACTCCCAAGGCCCTGGGTTCTCTCCCAGAACCAGGTCCATATACATCTGCACCCTCCTCCCCAGGTGGCACACCACCCACACTTCTCTGCCCCTTGCTTCTGCTCCTCAATGCATCCTGAAGACAGCTCCAGTCAGGACTTGGAGCACCTCCCGGCTTTCCATCAGCACACAGGGTTCCACTGCCAGGCTGTGCCCAGTCCTCAAACGCCAAGGTCTAGGTTGTTTCTTTTTTCTTTTTTTTTTTTTTGAGATGGAGTCTTGCTGTATCGCTGATCCTGGCTAATTGCAACTTCCATTTTCCAGGTTCGAGCAATTCTCCTGCCTCAGCCTCCCAAGTAGCTGGGACTACAGGCTTGCACCACCACATCTGGCTAATTTTTTGTATTTTTAGTAGAGACAGGGTTTCACCATGTTGGCCAGGCTGGTCTCAATCTCTTGACCTCATGATCCGCCCGCCTTGGCCTCTCAAAGCACTGGGATGATAGGCGTGAGCCACCGCCCAGCCACTCTAGGTGGTTTCTGATCTCCTGCCCCCACCCCTGCTCACCTGATAGTCCTTTTGCAGCAGCACGGTGTGGATGAGGCTCTTGTCAAGGCACAGGGCTGCGAGCTTCCGGCATGTCTGCCGGACGTTCAGAATCAGGTCTGTGCTGGGGACATGGCTCAGGATGTGAAGGAGGATCTCATCGGAGAACCCCAGGAGGTGGACCCCATCCGCCATCCCAGCTGCTGCAGGGTGCATGTCATCATCATCATTGGATATGTCCTGAAAATAAGGGAGACACCAAATTCCCACAGGATCCCCAAGGATGGCTGCCAGCCTAGCCTGCAGCTAAGGAGAGAAACAAAGGGAAGCCCTTATCCCTGGGAAAGAAGGTGCTTTCACTAAAAATCTCCGCTGAGCACGGTGGCTCACACCTGTAATCCCAGCACTTTGGGAGGCTGAGGCGGGCGGATCACGACGTCAAGAGATCGAGACCATCCTGGCCAACATGGTGAAACCCCATATCTACTAAAAATACAAAAATTAGCTGGGCGTAGTGGCGCACCCCTGTTGTCCCAGCTACTCAGGAGGCTGAGGCAGGAGAATTGCCTGAACCCGGGAGGCAGAGGTTGCAGTGAGCCGAGATCGTGCCACTGCACTCCAGCCTGGCACTTGACGATGGAACGAGACTCTGTCTCAAAAAAAAAAAAAAAAAAAAACTCAACCACACAGCAAAGAATTCATGAAATCCTTCAAAACCCCCTTTTAGAGCTGTAAGCCATGATCTCTCTTCAAAAATCAAAGATTAGAAAAAAAGATTATGTGGGTTTTTATTTTGTTTTTTTGAGACAGAGTTTTGCTGTTGTTGCCCAGGCTGGAGTGCAATGGCACGACCTTGGCACACCGCAATCTCTACTTCCCAGGATCAAGCAATTCTGCCTCAGCCCCCGGAGTAGCTGGGATTACAGGTGCCTGCCACCACACCCAACTAATTTTTGTATTTTTAGTAGAGACGGGGTTTCACCATGTTTGTCAGGCTAGTCTTGAACTCCACCTGACCTCAGGTGATCCACCTGCCTTGGCCTCCCAAAGTGCTGGGATTACAGGCGTGAACCATGGTGCCCGGCCATCATTATGTGCTTAAAAGAGACTTTTCCTGCTAAAGGCCTCCAGTCAAGTCTGGCATGAGGTTAGACTCAATGATAGGACCACTCCCCAGCGTTCTCCACGGGGGAAAGCTACTATCCACCCCTCTGTCCCAAATGTCAAGCTACGTTCTTGCAAACCCTTGGGTAGGGAAATTCTATCAAGAAACTTTCTGAGTACATCAAGAGTGTCTTCACCTCACGGGGTGCTGTGCTGGCTAAATGAGTTATGACACATAAAGTCTTTGGAACCATGACAGACGCTCATTTTACCACTGTCATTAGGGTAAATAAAACCAGAGAAATCGGCCAGCCATAGTGGCTCATGCCCGTAATCCAAGCACTTTGGAGGCCAAGGTGGGTGGATCACCTGAGCTCGGGAGTTCAAGACCAGCCTGACCAACATGGTGAAACCCCGTCTTAAAAAAAAGGAAAACAAAAAAAACAGAGAAGCCACCATTGATAACGGAACTGGCTGGATACAGTAGCTCATGCCTGTAATCCCAGCACTTTCAGAAGCGGAGGCTGGTGAATCACGCCAGAGGTCAAGATATTGAAACCAGGCCGGGTACGGTGGCTCACGCCTATGATCCCAGCACTTTGGGAGGCCGAGGCGGGTGGATCACGAGGTCGAGATCGAGACCATCCTGGTCAACAAGGTGAAACCCCATCTCTACTAAAAATACAAAAATTAGCTGGGCATGGTGGTGCGTGCCTGTAATCCCAGCTACTCAGGAGGCTGAGGCAGAATTGCTTGAACCCTGGAGACAGAGGTTGCGGTGAGCGGAGATCATGCCATTGCACTCCAGCCTGGGTAACAACAGCAAAACTCTGTCTCAAAAAAAAAAAAAGATATTGAAACCAGCCTGGCCAACACACTGAAACCCCATCTTTACTAAAAATACAGAAAATTAGGCAGTCGTGGTGGTGCGTGCCTGTAGTCCCAGCTACTCAGGAGGCCAAGGCAGAAGAATCACTTGAATGCGGAGGTGGAGGTTGCAGTGAGCTGAGCTCATGCCACTGCACTCCAGTCTGGGTGACAGAGCAAGACTCCATTTCAAATAAATAAATAAATAGATAATGAAACTATACAAGTCCTTACAAAGAACAAACAGCACCTACTACACTAATAAAGTTTTTTGTCATTTATTTTTATTTTTTTAGAGACAAGGTCTTGCTCTGTTGCATGGGCCAGACTGCAGTGGTGCGATCATAGCTCACTGCAGCCTCCAACTCCTGGGCTCAAGCCATCCTCCTACCTCAACTTTCCAAGTAGCTGAAGCTACAGGCACAAGCTACTATGCCCAGTCAATGTGATGGTTTTTGTTGTGGTGGTGGTTGATTTTTATTTTTGAGACAGAGTCTCGCTCTGTCACCCCGGCTGGAGTGCAGTGACATGATCTCAGCTCACTGCAACCTCCACCTCCGAGTTCAAGTGATTCTTCTGCCTCGGTCTCCCAAGTAGTTGGGACTACAGGCATGCACCACCATGCCCGGCTAATTTTTTGTATTTTTAGTGGTGACAGGGTTTCACCATATTGGCCAGACGATCTTGAACTCCTGACCTCGTGATTCGCCCGTCCCAGCCTCCCAAAGTGCTGAGATTACGGACGTGAGCCACCGTGGTCTTTATTTTTTTTCTTTTTGAGATGGAGTCTCACTCTGTCACCCAGGCTGGCATGCAGTGGTGCAATCAGCCCATTGCAACCTCCGCCCCCAGGTTCAAGCGATTCTCCTGCCTCAGCCTCCTGAGTAGCTGGGAATACAGGCATGTGCTACCACACCCAGCTAATTTTTTTGTATTTTTAGTAGAGACGGGGTTTCACTATGTTAGCCAGGATGGTCTCAATCTGACCTCCTGATCCACCCGCCTCAGTCTCCCAAAGTGCTGGGATTACAGGTGTGAGCTACTGCCCCAGGCCTCATGGTTGTGGTTGTTGAGACAGTGTCTCTCACTCTGCCTCCCAGGCTGGAGTGCAGTGGCACAATCATGGCTCACTGAAGCCTCAAACTCCCAGGCTGAAGAGATCCTCCCACCTCAGCCTCCTGAGTAGCTGGGACTACAGGTGCATGCCACCTCATCCAGTTAATTTGTTTTTTTTGTAGAGACAGGGTTTCCCTATGCTGCCCAGGCTGATCTCAAACTCCTGGATAAGAGACCCTCCTGCCTTGGCCTCTCAAAGTATGTTTTGTTATAGTAGAGACAGGATCTTGCTATGCTGCCCACATTGGTCTTGAACTCCTGGACTCCAGCAATCCTCTGGCCTCAGCCTTCCAAAGTGCTGGGATTACAGGCGGGAGCTACCGAGCCAGCCATTTCTTTTTTTTTTGAGATGGAGTTTCACTGTTGTTACCCAGACTGGAGTGAAATGGCACGATCTCGGCTCACCGCAACCTCCGCCTCCTGGGTTTAAGCAATTCTCCTGCCTCAGCCTCCCGAGTAGCTGGGACTACAGGCACGCCACCATGCCCAGCTAATTTTTTTTGTATTTTTAGTAGAGATGGGGTTTCACCTTGTTGACCAGGATGGTCTCAATCTCTGACCTTGTGATCCACCCGCCTCGGCCTCCCAAAGTGCTGGGATTACAGACAGGAGCCACCGAGCCCGGCCTCCGCGCCAGACGTTTCTTAACGTCTTTACTATTTCTCCATTGTCCTTCTTCTTATGACTTTGCTTATCTACCTGGCGTTTCCTAAGCTGTCTCCTGAGACACAGCACTGATACCACCAGCCTATGCACAAGCTGTCCCCTTGACCAGACATGCCACCCAGCAAGGGAAACTGCGACACTCTCATGCTTCAGCTCAAAAGCTCCTTTCTCAGGGAAGCCCTTGCAGTACTCTCCAGGCAAACTTAACTCACCGCCCCCCACAGCTGACCAGGCCTCCACTCCCAGCCTCGTCGGACGAGCTGTAATGGTTTCCCCACTACTCCAGGAATGCCTTCAGAACAAGGAGCATTTTTTATTTAACTTTTTTGTTTGAGACAGGGTTTCACTCTATCTCCCAAGCAGGAATGCAGTACAATCATAGCTCATTGCAGCCACAGCCTCCTGGGCTCAAGTGATCTTCCTGCCTCAGCCTCCCAAGTAGATGGAACTACAGGTGCAGGTCCCTACACCAGGCTAATTTTGTAATTTTTGTAGAAATGGGATCTTGTTTTGTTTTGAGACAGAGTCTTGCTCTGTTGCTATGCTGGAGTGCAGTGGCATGACTTAGGCTCACTGCAATCTCTGCCTCCCAGGTTCAAGCAATTCTTCTGCCTCAGCCTCCTGAGTAGCTGGGACTACATGTGTCTGCCACCATGACCACCTAATTTTTTATTTTAATTTTTTGATTTTTTAGTAGAGACGGGGTTTTACCATGTTCGCCAGGATGGTCTCAATCTCCTGACCTGGTGATTCACCAGCCTCAGCCTCCCAAAGTGCTGGGATTATAGGCATGAGCCACCACCCTCAGCTAATTTTCATGTTTTTTTTTTTTGTAGAGACAGGGTTTCCATGTTGCTCACACTGGTCTCAAATTCCTGGACTCAAGCAATCAGTCTACCTTGGCCTCCCAAAGTGCTGGGGTTACAGGCGTGAGCCACCATGCCCTGCTGGGAGCATTTTTAATACCTGAGAAAAACAAGTACTGAACCATGTGAAGTGCTATTAAAAAAAAAAAAAAAGCAGAGCCTGGCTGGGGCACAGTAGCTCACACCTGTAATCCCAGCACTTTGGAAGGCCAAGGCAGGCAGATCACCTGAGGTCAGGAGTTCAAGACCAGCCTGGCCAACATAGTGAAAGCCCATCTCTGCTAAAAATACAAAACATTGGCAGGGTGCAATGGCTAATGCCTGCAGTCCTAGCACTTTGGGAGGTTGAGGTGGGTGGATCATGAGGTCAGGAGTTGGAGACCAGCCTGGCCAACAGAGTGAAATCCCATCTCTACTAAAGATACAAAAAAATTAGCCAGGCATGGTGGCAGGCACCACCAGCTACTCAGGAGGCTGAGGCAGGAGAATCGCTTGAACCCAGGAGGTGGAAAGTGCAGTGAGCCAAGATTGCACCATGCACTCCAGCCCAGGCAACAGTGCGAGACTCTGCCTCAAAAAATATATATATATATACAAAAAATTACTGGGAGTGGTGGTCGGCTCCTGTAATCCCAGCTACTTGGGAGGCGGAGCCAGGAGAATCGCTGGAACTCATGAGGCAGACGTTGCAGTGAGCTAAGATCCAGCCATTGCACTCTAGCCTGGGGAATAGAGTGAGACCCCATCTCAAAAAAAAAAAGAGGGGCCTTTGAGCTGGAACTCTGTAAGATCAAAGTACCAGGACCCCCTTTCTTCCCTGACCCCAAGCACACACAACTAACTGGAATCTGCTCACACAGCCATGCTACCCCAGAACTCCTCCTCTGGAGCTGGAACTTGCATTTCAATCTTATCATCAATCTGCAGTTGGGCCACACACCATTCCTTGTCAATCAAGAAGCCACTGGGGTCATTTCTAGGCCAAGACCACTTCAAATTAAGAGGGGCAGTCAGCACAGCGACCCCCAGCCATTTCCACAGACCCCTGCTCCATCACTTTGAGGAAGACAGTTGAATCTCTCACTCCTGCTCCCTAGAACCCAGGCAAGCTCCTAAATCTGCGAAGTGCACCCAACGGTCTGAGTCCTGAAAGATGACAGATACCAACCCAGGTGCCCATACAGATAGGCAGGAAGCATCAACGGGAAGCCACTAATCAGTCTAGAGTACCTACTACACCCCTGTCTACAGAGACAATACTTTTCACCACATTACAGGGACGCAGCGAGCTTCTCCATCGGACCCAGATTTGTGGAGTGTTGGGAAAGAATTCCAGGGTACGCCGTAAGTACCCCAGGTGAAATGGCTTTTCGTCCATCACCCACCCCCCCACGTCATTCAGCAGGCAAGCTCCACGGAGAAGTGGGCTGGGCTGAAACTGAGCATCCAGAGATAGAAGATGAAGTGGGACGTGGGCACGGAGGGGAATGTCCCAGGGCTGTAGGGGACCAGCCAAGGAACGGGGGCACTGGGGAAGGGGTCTCGGAGGAGCCTGGACACTCAGGGGACGGAGAGGCGGGGGCAACTCTGCCGATCAGGAAAGACGAGCGAAGGGAAAGACAGCTTGTGCCTTCCGAGGCAGGGCAGGCGTCTGGGGGACAGGATGCGGGAGCAGGAGCAAGGCCAGGGTCCGGATGGGAAGGACGGGACGGGTAGGGGTCGGGATGGAAAGGATGCAAGGAAACCCAGGTCGGGAGGGATGAACCCAGGGAGACCGAGGCCACCGAGGTAGAAGCAGTGCGGAGAGAGGCGCGGACAGTACCTCTCCGGAGCTGGCCATGTCGCTGGCGGGGCCGAGCAGCGGCCTCGGGAGCCGCAACTCCGAGGCCTCCCACCTGCCCGGCTAGGGATGCTGCAAGCCGGCGCGTCCGCAGCTCAACCGAGACCCCGGCAAGACCGGGTCCCGTCACTTCCGGCGCCCGCCTCACGCACTTCCGCTCGCCCGCAGATGGGCCCCAGGTGGCCGCCATGTTAGATGTGGCTCCGCCCGGGGAGCTGCTGGAACGCAGGGGTGCCAGGAAGGGCTCTAGGGACCCCCGCCTTTTCTCTGAGCTCGTTCTTAGACCACTCTGCCCTCTGCACGCTCCTTTCCAGCCACCCGGCCTCCCGCTGCCGGCCCAGCACGGCCCCCTCCAGGCTTTTGCATTTGCCTTTCCCACTCCCTGCCATATGCAAAAGCCACAGGTCAGACCCTCTCTGAGCACCCCGTCTGGAATAGCGTCGCCTCTTCTCCATTTTCACACACGCCCCGGCACTTGCCTCATCGTCTGTGTTTCTCTGTAGCTTTTTGCACCATCTGACGACGGTATCTTTTTTTATTTTTGGTCCTCCCCCTAATAAACTAATAAATTGTAAGCAGGGACAGGATTTCCCAATACCTGGAACTATCCCAGGAATGCAATAGACACTGAATACATATTTGCTAAGTAAATATGAATGTATGTGCCCTCACACTTAAGCGTTTGCATTTCAAAATAATTAGACCCGGCCGGGCGCAGCTCACGCTGTAATCCTAGCATTTTGGGAGGCCGAGGTGTGCGGATCATCTGAGGTCAGAAGTTCAAGACCAGCCTGGCCAACATGGTGAAACCCAGTCTCTACTAAAAATACAACAATTAGGCCAGGCTAGGTGGCTCACACCTGTAATCCCAGCACTTTGGGAGACCAAGGTGGGCGGATCACGAGGTCAGGATATCGAGACCATCTGGCCAACATAATAATACCCCGACTCTACTAAAAATACAAAAATTATCTGGATGTGATGTCAAGCGCTTGTAATCCCAGCTGCTCGGGAGGCTGAGGCAGGAGAATCGCTTGAACCCAGGAGGCAGAGATTGCAGTGAGCCAAGATGGCACCATTGCACTCCAGAGACAGAGATAAACTCTTTAAAAAAAAAAAAAAAAAAATCCCTGGGATTCACGCCTGTAATCCCAGCACTTTGGGAGGCCGAAGTGGGCAAATCACAGTCAGGAATTCGAGACCAGCCTGGCCAACAAGGCAAAAACCCGTCTCTACTAAAAATAAAACAAATTGGCCGGGCGCGGTGGCTCAAGCCTGTAATCCCAGCACTTTGGGAGGCCGAGGCGGGTGGATCACGAGGTCAAAAGATCGAGACCAGCCTGGTCAACATGGTGAAACCCCGTCTCTACTAAAAGTACAAAAAATTAGCTGGGCACGGTGCTGCGTACCTGTAATCCCAGCTACTCAGGAGGCTGAGGCAGGAGAATTGCCTGAACCCAGGAGGCAGAGGTTGCGGTGAGCCGAGATCGCGCCATTGCACTCCAGCCTGGGTAACGAACGAAACTCCGTCTCAAAAAAAAAAAAAAAAATACAACAAATTAGCTGGGTGTGTGTTGGGCGCCTATAAACTCAGCTCCTCGGGAGCCTAGGCAGGAGAATCACTTGAACCCAGGAGGCAGAGGTTGCAGTGAGCTGAGATCATGCCACCAGCCTGGCGGCAGTTCCAGACTCTTCTGAAAAAAAAAAAAAAAAAAGCCGGGCGTGGTAGCTCACGCCTGTAATCCTAGCACTTTGGGAGGTCGAGGTGGGTGGATCACCTGAGGTCAGGAGTTCAAGACCAGCCTGGCCATCATGGTGAAACCCCATCTTAAAAAAAAAAAAAAAAAAAATCCGTGGGGAAAGAAAGTTCATTCTCTGGAATCCAAAGAACTAGGTTTGAGGCCAAGCACAGTGGCTCACACCTGTAATCCTAGCACTTTGGGAGGCCGAGGCAGGAGGATTGATTGAGCCCGGGAGTTTGAGATCAGCTTGGGCAACATAACAAGACTTCTCTCTGCAGAAAATTAAGATAAAGAAAGAAAAAAAACTAGATTTGAATACTGGAACTGACTTCTGGGTGACCCTAAACAAGTGTATTCATTTTCTTTATTTTTGAGATGAAGTCTCTGTCACCCAGGCTGGAGTGCAGTGGCGTGATCTCGGCTCTCTGCAACCTCCGACTCCTGGGTTCAAGTGATTCTCTTGCCTCAGCCTCCCAAGTATCTGTGACTACAGGCACCTGCCACCACGCCCAGCTAACTTTTGTATTTTTAGTAGAGATGGCATTTTGCTGTGTTGGCCTGGCTGGTCTCAATCGCCTGACCTCATGATCCACCTGCCTCCCAAAGTGCTGGGATTACAGACGTGAGCCACCACGCCTGGCCCATGTATTCATTTTCTAGGGCTGGCCTAACAAAGTATCACAAACTGGGTAGCTTATACAGCAGAAATGTCTTCTTTCACAGTTCCAGAAGCCAGACACTAGAAATAAAGATGATAGTATATCATACTCCCTTCAAAGGTTCTAGGGAAGGAGCCTCCCTTGCCTTTTCCTTTGAATTATTTATTTATTTATTTCTATAGAGATGGAGTCTTGCTGTGTTACCCAGGCTGATCTTGAACTCCTGGGCTCAAGTGACTTTCCTGCCTCAGCCTCCCAAAGTGCTGGGATTACAGGTGTGAGACACTGCACCGACCTTTTTCCTAGCTCGGGTGGTTCCCTGCAATCCTTGGAGTCTTTCGGCCTGCAGCTCATCACTCCAAAGTCTTCCTCCGTCTTCAGGTGGCCTTCTCCCCACTGTCTCTCCATATGTCCTCTCCTCGTCCTCTAAGGACACCAGTCATACTGGATTTAAGGGCTCCTCTTAATCCAGTATAATTTCGCCTTAACTAATTACATCTGCAAAGACCCCAATGCAAACGAGGCCACTTTCTGAGGTTCCAGGTGGACATGAATATTTGAGGGGGGGCGCTGTTTACCTTAGCACATCAAGTTTCATCTCATACCCCCCAGGCCTCCTTTCCCTCCCACCTCATAGGGTTGATCCACTTATTAGTATAAACAGGTCTCTGGCTCACGCCTGTAATCCAGCACTTTGGGAGGCCAAGATGGGCAGATAACCTGAGGTTGGGAGTTCAAGATCAACCTGACCAACATGGAGAAACCCTGTCTCTACTAAAAATACAAAACTAGCTGGGCGTGGTGGTGCATGCCTATAATTTCAGCTACTCAAGAGGCTGAGGCAGGAGAATCGCTTGAACCCAGGAGGCAGAGGTTGTGGTGAGCCGAGATTGTACCATTGCACTCCAGCCTGGGCAACGAGAGCGAAACTCCATCTCAAAAAAAAAAAAATTAGCTAGGTGTAGTGGCAGGCTCCTGTAATCCTGGCTACTTGGGAGGCCGAGGCAGGAGAATGGCTTGAACCCTGGAGACGGAGGTTGCAGTGAGCCAAGATCATGCCACTATACTCCAGCCTGGTGACAGAGTGAGACTCTGTCTCAAAATAAATAAATAAATAAAATGAAGGCAAAGCCTCAGTGGGCCCTGATTGTATGGCTCCACACCAGTCTGGGCAACACAGCAAGACCCTGTCTCAAAAAAAAGAGTGTTGGCTGGGCGCGGTGGCTCATGCCTATAATCCTAACACTTTGGGAGGCCGAGGTGGGCGGATTGCCTGAGCTCAGGAGATCGAGACTAGCCTGGGCAACACAGTGAAACCCCATCTCTACTAAAATACAAATAATTAGCTGGGCGTGGTGGCTGTCCCTGTAGTCCCAGCTACTCAGGAGGATGAGGAACTAACACTCGAGGTCTCGCCCACGCACTGTGAGGGTCCCTTCTCTGCGGAAAATGCTGTTTTCCTGGTTGTTGCTGTTTCCAGCCATAACTCAAATGTTGCATCCTCCTCACAAGTCTTTCCTGAAATTCTCTTTCCTGTCCTCTCTGATCCATTCCTCCTTTTTCCCTAAAATCTGTCACACGTTTTTCTTTTTCCTTTTTTTTTTGAGATGGAGTTTCGCTCTTGTTACCCAGGCTGGAGTGCAATGGCGCAATCTCGGCTCACCGCAACCTCCGCCCCCTGGGTTCAGGCAATTCTCCTGCCTCAGCCTCCTGAGTAGCTGGGATTACAGGCACGTGCCACCATGCCCAGCTAATTTTTTGTAATTTTTAGTAGAGACGGGGTTTCACCATGTTGACCAGGATGGTCTCGATCTGTTGACCTTGTGATCCACCCGCCTCGGCCTCCCAAAGTGCTGGGATTACAGGCTTGAGCCACCACGCCCGGCCTTTCTTTTTTTTTTTTAAGACAGAGTTTGGCTTTGTCACCCAGGCTGGAGTGCATTGGTGCAATCTCAGCTCACTCCAACCTCTGCCTCCTGGGTTCAAGCAATTCTCTGGCTCAGCCTCCTGAGCAGCTGAGATTCCAGGCCCCCACTACCACACCCTGCTAATTTTTTTGTATTTTTAGTAGAGACGAATTTTCACTATCTTGGCGAGGATGTTCTTTAACTCCTGACCTCGTGATCCACCTGCCTTGGCCTCCCAAAGTGCTGAAATTACAGGGGTGAGCGACCGCACCTGGCCATAGGTATGTTTTTCTTTTCTTTTCTTTTTTTTTGAGACGGAGTTTTGCTCTTGTTACCCAGGCTGGAGTGCAATGGCACAATCTCTGCTCACCAGAACTTACGCCTCCTGGGTTCAGGCAATTCTCCTGCCTCAGCCTTTTTGAGTAGCTGGGATTATAGGCACATGCTACCATGCCCAGCTAATTTTTTGTATTTTTAGTAGAGATGGGGTTTCACCATGTTGACCAGGATGGTCTCGATCTCTTGACCTTGGGATCCACCCGCCTCGGCCTCCCAAAGTGCTGGAGTTACAGGCGCGAGCCACCGTGCCTAGCCATAGGTATGTTTTTCATTGCAGCAGACCTTTTCTTTTCTTTTCTCCTTTTCCCTCTCCTCCCCTCCCCTCCCCTTCCCTTCCCTCTCCTTTCCTTCCTTTCTTTTGAGACAGGTCTTGCTCTGTTGTCCAGGCTGGAGTGCAATGGCACCATCATGGCTCCCTGCAGCCTCAAACTCCTGGACTCAAGCAATCCTCCCACCTCAGCCTCCCCAGGGGGAGCTAGGACCACAGGCATGCACCACA